ATGTGAAAAATTCTTCTCACTTGAGAAGATCTATAACAAGCCATTCAATACATTGCAAGTCATCACTTGATGCTATCATTATAAAATTATATGTATATATAAATAAAGATTTCTGCATTTGTGTGCAGGTTATTGGCCTTAGGTTTTGTTCACAGTAGTACGCTCATTACTGAGACTCCAGCATGAAGCAATGGCTTTCATGTGCTTTTTTCGAAAATGCTCAGAAATTTCATTGGGTTCAAAATACTGCAGCCAGATTTTTACAGGTTGGTGACAGGGATCCCATAACCCCCCTGTTATAGCAGCTCCATTTCCAGGAACAATTCAAATTGCTGCTTTTAACCTATAACGCCCTAAATGGGTCTGAACTGTCTCAAAGAATGTAACTCCCATTATGAGCCTGACTGTGTGTCAAGATTTTCAGGGGAGGCCCTCCTCTGTGTCCTACCACTCTGACCAGTCCATATGATAACAGTGTCTTGTCACTGCTCCCAGACTCTGGAAATCCCCCCATAGCAAGCTAGGATGGTCCCCATCTTTGATGTCTTTTCCACAAGAAGGGAAATACCTTTTTCTTCAGGCAGGCTTTTCCTTAGTGACTGACTGTCTAGGAGACAATAAATGAGATGTTTTATATTTTGTTGCTTCTAAATCTGTTTTTTGTAATGCTTTTACCTAACATTTTAAGTACAATGTTATTAATTCCTTAATATTTGAATAATTTTCTGTTTTTAGCTTCTAATCTTGTGTTTCTAATGGTGTGAGTTGTCCTGGGACCTTTTTTAAGGAGAAAGGTAGAGTAAAAATATTTTAAATGACTGACTGTGTGAAGGGGCCATCACAGGCACAACATCACGCATCCTGTTCACACAGCTACACCATGTAAGGCTGATGATGTTATCTGCGTTACAGTTTTTTAGAAATAAAAACAACCCTTAATGTGTAAAAAAAAAGAGGGGGTGTAGATGGACTGAAACGGCAGTTAAGAGAACTATGTTTCTTTTGGTAGCCTGCATAACTTGTAATTAGTTTTATTAGCCAGCCAGATAAGCAGTTCTCCTGATAAGCCTTATTAACTGGAAATCCAGGATTTGATTTTATAAAATATTTGATATATTTGCCACAAAACCAGTCAAGACGGAAGACACAGGAGATCCCCAGTATCATTCCAAGATACGAGAACCAGCAGTCAATCAACTAAGGAACAGGTGAGGTGGAAAACGTCCTTGCTAGTGTGAAAAAAATAAGGAGACAGGAGGAGGTAAGCCACTCACATTGGCTTCCCTCTGTCATGGTTATGCTTGTGATGGCATCTAATAGTTTATGGGAAAAATACAGTAAAATTAAGAAAGAGAAAGTGCCACATCTCAGCTGGGGGAAAGCTTTACCTGATCATCACTGGGTGAAGGATGCAGCTGGAACCGACAGGTAGTTGAAGTTGTTGACATCTACTCATGGCCTCCATTTGGAACGAAAAGTAGGGTCACAGAGAAAGGGTCATTTTAGCAGAAAACATAAATGAAAGCCCATGGTGATGGTCATTGTATCTGGATTCATCCTATCTTATGTTTTCTTTTGTTTTTAACTACTGGGCTTGAAGCAGCAAACACTCCAGCCTTGACTGGATGAGCTACAGGAACCATTCCTAAGCTGGTGCTCTTGAGATATTTTGGACTACAACTTCCACAGCCTCTGATGGTGTTTGCTGCTGTCAGGAGTTTTAGTCAAAGCAGCTGGAGTTGGGGTGGGAAACTTGTAGCCCTTTCACTGTTGCTGGACTGCAATGTCTCTAAATCCCAGCAAATATAGCCAATGGTGAATGATGAGTGGATACTGGCGTAGAGAAGGCTGAGTTAGACTGGTGCTGAATGATCATGAACATCACAACTATTCAGAGAACAAAGAAAGTAGCAAAAATAGCAAATCTTTTGTGAAAACGATTAAAAGTTATCCCAGTGCCATACAGACCCTTATGGTTCCGTTTACGCCTTGGGAGCTTCAAGGAATTGAGCAAAAATTAATTTAGATTTTGAAATGAACTTGCCTGTGAGTGAAGAGGCATTATAGAGACAGCATCAAATGATCACATTTATTCACTAGGTGGTGCTCCACACTTAGCCCAAGAAGATTATTGCACTTGGAACAATCAGTTATTTGAATGGGATGCAAGTAGGAACAGAATCCTGAGGAGGCAGCAGAACCGGCCGCGTTGTTTCAAATTGCAGGCAAACAGGTCAAAGTTTTAAATGCTGCTCTACATCAGAAACACAGCCAATCCCTCTTGCAAGAAGTAAACCAGCATAGCAGGGAGCAAACTCAAATGAAACCTTTCTCTTTGACATACAGTACTAGGTTTATATTTCAGGAAAAATAAAGAAAAATGCTTTTCTTCCTTAAGATGTCATGACTAGGAATGGGGGTTACAGTACATTTTGGGGAGAGGTTCATTACCTCTTGCCATATTGGGGTTAAAAAGGACCACTCCTTCCTTTTCCTGTATTTTCCTCAGGCCCTCAGATTCTCCCATCTGTATTGTGTGAAGCTATACAACTGGGGTTTTATTTGAAAGCAGAATTCATTTTATTGATTTTGTTGGGTGGTTGGGGTTATTGTTTCGTTTAGCTTTGTTAACCGCTTAGAGTAGTGTCTCAAGCTAAGTCAAAGGTACATAAATTTACAAAATAAATTATCTAGATTCTGCCACCTCTTCTTACTAATTCTGTAGCATAACATGAATACCTCACAAGATGCTGCTTCATCCTCTGCTATGCATCACTCCATCCTGCACGATTACATTGCATTGCACACATTGGCCGAACAAATATTATGGAGAAGTGGAGGGAAAATGGAATGAAACCCACCACATTTCCATAACTGTCACAATGGTTAGTTAGGACTATAAGCTACAGCCTAACTCTCCATGGAACCTCACTGGATTAATTAGATCTATTTCCAAGAAAACATGTATAGGACTTTTCTGTACATCACCTGACACTTTTTGAATACAAACTCAGCACTAGAAAGCATTAATGGAGAGGTTTGAAAGGCCACTGCAATGATGGCGGGTTTTCCTACCTGTGAGTGTTAGGCAATGCGCTCTCAA